ATTGGGAAATTCTTCAAGATCTTGTTTTTGTCATCTTATGCCTTTTAGTGAAGATGGGAATTACCTACCATAACCAAGGCACATTATTGGGAAATTCTTCAAGATCTGTTTTTGTCATCTTATGCCTTTTAGTGAAGATGGGAACATTGACAGGGAATAGATACGAACGAAGAAGTTTCGTAAAGAGTGTGAGCAGTAGTGTGATGTAAAATTACTCATGCTAGAAATTTTCATAAAAGTGACCTGAAAAATGACACTAACTCGGTAACCCGTGGCCCAATGAAGTTTCGTAAAGAGCGCGAACGGTAGTGTGATGTAAAATTACTTATGCTAGAAATGTTCTTAAAAGTGACCCAAAAAATGGCACTAACTCGGTAACCCATGGCCCGATTTTAATGAAACTTGTTTTATTCTGTTTCTATTCTCATTTCATTACAAGTATGGCGCTATTGTGCGCCATTTTTGCTGTATTTAATTACAGACAAGCAAACAAACTATCTCAGAGTTTTAGTATTATATAGATAGACAGAATTTCGTGAGAAAATTCATTTTCAGTATTTACAACAAATAAATTTATGGTTTACTTTAAAAAAAAAAAGGTATCAAAGCAAAATGTATAAAACCATGCAACTGTGATTTGATATGGTTACGATCTTTCATGGAACAAACTTAAGAAATGTATTGAAACACACCAAATACAAACAGATTGACCACAGAGTAGAAAACTGGCTTGCTCATCATTAACCAGTGCTTAGGTTCATATTTTTAACTTGTTCAATTATGCATGTTCAATAATCTTATATTTGAGTTTTTCAGTTTAATTCTGTATTGTGAGTTTTTGATAATGAAAAGTTGTAACTGTTCCTGCATGATGTACAGAAGCATTAAAAAATTAATCTGAGAATATTAATTTCAATGGAAATTTTACAGGACAATTTAAATAATAATCTAAAATAGTGATTCCCAACCCCTTTTATGCCACATATCTCCAGTCATACCTCTGAGACAGCAGCATGTCCCTGGCATATATATTTTGTTAAGAAAAAGACATAATAATTTAAGGATAAATCAACAATACATGAATGTAGAGTGCTGGTGAGTGGAATGTAGCAGTAATTCACAGAAACTGCCCTTCAGTTTTGAAGCATATGGCTTATTTTCCTTACAATGTTTTCAAAAGTTTCCTGAATGTCCCTAGAAGGATCTCCATACACTATGTGTTGGTAACCACTGTTTTCCAATGCATGATATGGAAAGACCTCTCTAGGGGTATGCGAGAACCTTTGTACCTAAGGCAGATATTGAAAAAGATATTGTTGGCACATGATAGTGATTTTTCAAACAAGTCAGTCGTAATTCATTTTGTAAATTAACACTTGCCAACACCATTAGCTTTACCATAGATTCCACAAAGAGGAGAATAAATACATTCCATTTGTTATCCCTCTCTGTGTGAGCATTTCCTTTTAAACTATTAATAATGGTGTGAAAATGTTATTTTCCAGACACTTTACCAACAGCATTGGAAGCACAAAATATTGTCGCAGAAAATAGGGTAAGGATATCTTGTGTTTAGTGATATGTTTTATGATGGTATGAAGTTATTTTTCTAAAGCTAGATAATGGGGGAAGTTTTATTTTTTGGCCATTTCTAAATATGTTTCAAAGGTAAAAGACTAAAACACACCACAATATTATTTGTGTTATAATGTTACTGAGTTTTTCTGCTGAATTAATGCCCCTTTCAGCTCGTAAGCTGTCTATTGTTTTACAAGACTGACTTATGTTCATCAGTTTCTATACAATGGAACTGTAATTTGCATTTTGAAACACAAACAATAATTTTAAACGGTAAACTAGAATGCCTCAAAACTACTATCATTTATATGGCTTTCTAACTGACATATAAATAGGATATAAAAATTTCAGTATGTATAAAGCACCAATTATAGTCTACACTCAACAAAATCTACTTGGCAAATGTCACCTTTATACAGAAATAAATTAATGTTTTTAATAAACATTTACCATTGACATATAACCATCAGTAAATATGTAATTTCTAAAGCATGAATTTTTAAGAGCAGCTACTATAGTGAGTTAAAAAAATTTACTGATATCTAATGAAATAAACATGGTGGGATCTAACCTATAGTTGATGTTTCTAATTGGTGGACATTGAAAGGTGAATTCAAAGCATTACATGACATAGAAGTGAAGGTTGTGCATTTATTTGAATATTTCATTTTCAAATTAAGAAAGTTAAAGTTATGATATATTAACTTCTGAATTATAAACTGTATTTGATGCCAAGTTTATTGGCATACATTGATAATGAAGTTGTTCAATTAAGTTTTGAATGTAGCTGTATAAAAGGTCTGATGTGTGCACTTTGACCCCTACCCATTCACAATAGGGCTAGGGACAAGAAGGACGTGGTAAACATTGTATAATCTTTCTGTGTAGAGTAACATATATACATAAGTAAATGTCTAGTAAAGGTGAAGCTCTTTGACAGAATTTAAAAAATTTGAATTACTGTAGTTAACTTTGAAATTTGTTTCTTGGGACTTTTCACTCACACTGTTTTTGAGTAAATATTATCTTGGTTTAGCTCAAAGAACATAAGATTATTGTAAATTGTTAGATTTAAAAGCACATAAGCAAAAAGAACAAATAATGAACCAGTGAGATTGAAAAATTTGAAAATATAAATTATATGTGTATACTCAAAAACTATCCTCTGATTTGAGTAAACAATAGGATAGCCACTTGAATGTAGCATGTGTAGACAGCTGGACTTTGGAGCATTTAGTTGACCTGTACTGTACAATGTGAGCTAGTGTTTAAAGTTTTTGGAATACACTTTGTTTATCTACTCACATTTTAATATTGTTTGGTGATATAAAACATATATTTATAGCACTTGTATTGAATAGTTTTAGATTTTGTTATTCAATTGTTGTGCAACATAAACACGCATTTCTCTGTTTTCTACTATTGAATTCAGTGTTTCTTGTCAGGATCTAGAATTTTGGATGACCTCTTAATGCATGCAATTCTGGTTGAAAGCATATATACAATAATGTCTACAATGAAACATCTTGCATACAAATAGAAGAAAGTGTTAGAAATGGTTCACTCTTCATCTGTCGGGTTGGGAATTATGTTATCAAATCCTGACTGTGATATTTTCTTTTAGATTGTTTCTCCCTCTAAACCGTTGAGGCCTAAATCAGATGAGAAACAACTGAAGTACAAAGAACATCGTAGAGTGTCTCACATAAATGCTGAACAGAAGAGACGGTGTAATATAAAGGTAATTGAAGATGTCAGTAATTTAAACAGTGTAGGATAAAGGTAAACAAAGAAGTCAGTAACTTAGGCGTGTAATATAAAGGAACTGAAGTACAAAGAACTTCGTAAGGTGTCTCACATAAATGCTGAACAGAAGAGACGGTGTAATATAAAGGTAATTGAAGATGTCAGTAATTTAAACAGTGTAAGATAAAGGTAAACAAAGAAGTCAGTAACTTAGGCGTGTAATGCAAATATATGCAAAGATGTCAGTAACTTAGGCAGTGTAATATAAAGGTAAACAAAGGTGTCAGTAACTTAGGCAGTGTAGTATAAAAGTAAATAAAAATGTCAGTAATTTAAACAGTGTGATATAAAGATAAGCAAAGAAGTCAGTAACTTTTGTTATCATTACCACTTCACATCAGTGTTGAACAAAAAAAGGTGGCATAATATAAAGATAAACAATAATATTAGTAACTTCATTAGTTAATGGAAATATCTGGTTTGTAAATAAGAAATTTGACTGTTCAGAATATTTCAGAAATAAAAACACCATTGATAATTGATCTGATTAGTTTTTTTTTAAAAACTGCATTGATTAATACAGTATCTTTAGTTTTTAAAGCCTTGTAGACTACTGTGTATGTCTCCTCTATCCAGAAATCATAACTTAGTGATACATTTTTACTTGCATGTTTTAAATGAAATGTGAAGAATAGTAAAATTATATTCTGCATTGATCTATAACAAGAAAATGTACTGTGCTGTTGTGGATCCTGAATGTGCTAAAAATATAAAACACAGATGTCGGTGTGATGAATGAGTTTTGTATTCTTCTAGGTACTAAATGGTGTCAATAAATATTTGGTGTTTTTACAACATAGTCTTAATACATGGTTTTATAAAGACTTAAACCTTGCAGTCTGTTACCTGAAGTGTAAATCTTTAGTAGCAGAAGTTATCAGTCTAGTGAATTTGAAATTCTGCCTGGAATGGCTGTATAATTTATCATGTAAAATAATAATTGTAATGGTATATAAATACAATAAAGTAGAATTTTTGTGTGCTTGTCTTTGTATAATAATATTTAACATTGGTTTATAATATCTAGAATGTATAATAATATTTAACATTGGTTTATAATATCTAGAATGTATAATAATATTTAACATTGGTTTATAATATCTAGAACATATAATAATATTTGACATTGGTTTATATCTAGAATGGCTTTGATGCCCTGCGTCATCTCTTACCTTCTCTAAGTCAAAATCCAAACTGTAAAGTCAGCAAGGCTGCAATGCTACAAAAAGGTATGTTTGTACAGGTTTAGGTTTAGATAACAATATAAGGCTTATGATATATTTCTTATTTAATAACTTTTTACTGAAAATGATTATTTGTTGGGTCAGGCTTGCTCTAGAGGTTAGTATACTGGGCTGGAAATTTAAAGGTCCAGGGTTTGTACTGTGATATATGCAATAACATGCTTCACCCTTTCAGCTATTGGACCATTATAACTGTGATAATCAGCTCTACAGTTGTTACATGAAGCAGGGTTATTTTATTATAACTGTGATAATCAGCTCTAAAGTTGTTACATGAACCAGAGTTATTTTATTATAACTGTGATAATCAGCTCTACAGTTGTTACATGAACCAGAGTTATTTTATTATAACTGTGATAATCA